TGTTGCATCACTTGCCTTCTGATAGCTTTCTTTGTAGTGGAACTGCTTTGTGGTGTGTGGCGTCTCCTATTAAATCTGCGCAAAGAACAAGTGGTAAGTTTAAAAATAAAAAACAAAAAAATTAATGAGTGTTATGTGGGTCTCAATTCAAGAATTAGTGCTCAGATGCTAAAGCATGGAGGAGTTGGTGATTCCTTTTTAATAAGATTCGAATTAGAGGATCATCACTATGTAGGCACCTTAATGACAACTTTTAACTGAAAAAAGTTGCTGCTGATAATCCTTTCTCATAAAGGCAGTTTTAGTTAAGAGGTCATATCAGTGAAGCTTGCTGGTATATTTAAGGACTTGTTTGTACTTGAAAAGTTTATTGGCTTCAGAATGGATATGGAGGTGAAAGGCATCTTATCCTGATTAAAACACGGACATAGTTATTCTGGTATTTGGTTATTTTATGTCAGGTTAGCTTAAGCCATTTCAGATCAGTTCTTGGAAGTGAGCACCTGCATGAGCAGCCTTTTAAGGCATTGCACACGCTCTTAAGTCCACATTTACCTAAAACGATAAGTAGCCAGTGCACAATACATAACAAAGCTGTGCGTAATACATAACAAAGTTTGTTGCATGGAAATGGGAATCGAAATTTCAACAATTCTCCAATTCTCAATCTGTATTGAAGCAGCAGCGTTGGATGAAAAAAATCAGTAGCGGTCAGTGAAGAGCTACATGTGTGGAAGGGAGTGCAAAATATTTTGTAAAGGAAAAAGCTTTCTGCAGTGACTTGTATTGGACTTGTATGTGTGTCTGGAAAAAAGCTTTAAAAAATGAACAGCTATCAGAAAGCAATAACAAATGTGTGGTGTGAAGTGTATCCAGAATTTTAATAGTAGTAACTATTATTAACTAACTAGCTGGGTAAATTAGCAAGTGAAATGTGTGTGTATGGAAGAGGCAGAAGAGATACGTAGGTAAAGGTGCAGAAAAAGATCATGCCCACCTTACTGTGCCTTCTTCCCTCTTTCTGCTCCTTTTGCTCTTGCACGCTCAGCACATAGGAAGTACCACTGCTTGTTTTGCTGTGTAGCTTGCAGCACAAATCAACACTTAATTTGACTCAAAGGGAGGAAGAACTAAAGGGTTATACCAAGCATGTTGAAGTCTATGTGTTGTCGTGTTGTTTTTTTCAAAAGATCTCTTCAAAATACTTTTAAAAAAAAAAAAAATTTCTCATATGTGTATATTCTGGTAATAGTGGTAAGGTGCGGTTGAACTAGAAGTTCTCTCATTTTCAACTGCTTTGGACAATGGGAAAATTTGGCAGGCCATCCCGATATAAAATAAAAAAATAAAATGTGACTATGCCTCCTAATCTTAGTGCATTTGGCCATGCATCCTTTTTTTATCTGTACACTTGGTTACTGTATGTTGTAAAACAGTAGTGTTTTGATCTACGGAACCTGTTTTTAATGGACTGTTAAACATAATGTTTTAGCAGTGACAAGTTAGAACAAAGGATCTTCTAAGTTCTGAATTGACAAGCCTAAAAACTTAAGGCAGGCTAAACATCTATGAAAGTAATTCATCTCAAAGTTAAAAGATGCTTTTTCTTGCCCTTCCCCCATGCTTTTTTTCAGCTGAAGGATTGCAATAAACCATATCTGTACAGCTCTCTTGCTTGAGAAAGACAACTTTTGAACCATGGCGAACCAGGTAAGATCACTTGGTGAGAATTTCAGGTTTGTAGTGCTTAAACGGATTCCAAAGCCATACTCAGAATTCATAGTAAATGTAAAGCTGAAATAGCTAGCTTGCTCTGAGTTGGGCATTGTTTTAGTCCTGTGATTCCTTCAGGTAATTTGGTAACTGGTGGTTGTCCTCTGGATGCTTAATCATCAGTTGAACTAGGTTGGGGGCATAACGTTAAATTTTGCAGTTTGGATTATTTGAGCATGAGTTCTTCTGATGGATCTTGCGCACAACACTCTCTATATAAGATATATGTAGAGGTGTTCTAGAGGAAGAAGTCTGCGTAAGTAAAAGTTGCTGAAAACTACTGTTCTTATTTTTGGAGCCCTGTGTTGGAAGTCTTCATTCTTCAGAATCTTAATTGAGGGAGGCAACTTATGTTAACTGCTGTTGTCTTCCTCCTCTTTCTTGTATTTGCCACGCTTTATTTTTAAACTTCCTGTGGTGTTTTTTCTTTTCTTTTTTTTTTTTTTTTAAGAGGCACTTTTTATGCCTGTTTCTTCCTGGCCTTGCATCTGGGTTTGAATTTTCCCTCAGCCAAGCTAGTGGTCTGTTCCTGGCCTGCCTCCTCCTTATATTCCATTAATTGGTCTCCCATCATTGTTCCTGGCCTGGGGGAGTGACTCACAGCTAGTAGTGAGGAGAGGCATCCCCCATAGGAGGAGGAGAACTCATAGGTGAGGGGAGACAGGGACAGCTGAGATCCCCTCTAGGCAAGAGTGATGATTTTTTTTTTTTTATCTGCCTCTTCATCACTCCCACAGCTGCTGCAGAGTTTCTTGTGAGTCTTGGAGCTCAAGTTGAGCACAGTCCAGTCCTTAAGCTAATATTTAGGATTGGCCAACATCAAAGGGCTAACTGCTTTTTTCCTACTTCCAAGAAGAAGCTGTCCATCCTTTAGCCAGCTTGACAAGTCAGGGGAATATGGCTGTTCATGCAATCCTTTGGCTCTGTTATTTTTGCCAGGCGTTTTCCCCAGAGGCTGCTTTCCCTCATGGGAGGCGGAGGGAGAAATGGGACCCCAGGCTTCTTTCAAGGGCAAGGTGAATATGGGGAAATCACCTGTGGTGATGGGGAGTGGGAGGGAGGAATGTAAATAAGGCTAAATACTATAAATATGTTTTTTTTATCCCAGCAGGACGTAATGGGAAAAAACAAAAGAGAATGCCTCCAGGCCTATAGCTGGTGGAGAGGACCACAGAAAAAACGAAAGAAAAAGAACAAAATAAAAGCAGGAAGAATAGAGTTTGTTAGTAGTTCAGCCAGGTAAAGTCTTTTTAAAATGAGAATATCTGGCCTCTGTACACTTAAATTGATAGTGAGCAATGAATGCCATCATTTACCTTTACAATTTTGAATGGTGCTTCTGGTGCATGTACACCAAATATTGTTTGTGTTAATATACTGCTAATACAATAATGAAGTTTTCTTAGAAAGTTCATTTCTCCCACTGTTACTGAGAAGCAGTGGAACAGTATGTTGGTAGCTTTTTTGAATTACTACTGTAATCTGAGGTAATTTTTCTTGAAACTTTTGTACCTCCATTTTTCTTGCTTGTAGACAGTAAAAACTGGGCTTTTTAAAAAGCATCTTCTAATTTGAAGTGATTTTTGCTCAAGCAGTAGAATGGACCCAGGGAAACCGGGCGCTTTATGCTGTAGTGATGGCACTGCATTTCAGTACATTCCTCAAAATACAGTCTTTCAGTTAATGTTTTCATCAGATTTGTCTCCCTAATTGTCCAGTGATAAGTGGCTGTATATCTGTTTGGCATCTTAGTCTTAAAACATTTTTTTTTTTGTTTAAGACCGGATTATTCAATATTTGTTGGGGAGCTTACCCCAGAAGTGGATGACTTCCAGCTCTATGACTATTTCCTGAAGAGGTACCCTTCATGTATTGACTGCAAAATAGCAACGGATCTACTGGGATATTCCAGGTAACTTCTAAGCAAATTTGAAGTGCTGTCAGTATGTCTGCTTCTATAATTAATGTACAAGCACCTGCACCTGAACTTTTTCTGCTTTCTTTTTTTTTTTTTTCCCCTCTCCCCTTTGAGGCAGGGAGAGAGCAGAGCAGGGATTAGTCTTTAGCATTACACTTTTGACAACAAAGATGCTCACGTTACTAAAACTTTGAAATTAGTTTTAGGAATAGGATAAACTTCAATTTAACCGTATGCATGTCTGCATGCAAGGAAACCTAAGTGGTGGGAGGGGGTAGAGCTGTGCATTAAAATCAATGCTGCTCTGCTCACATACAGCAGTGTGTCTGCTTAGTCATCTGCAGTACAAAAGAATTCCACCTTTACATGTGTGAGAAAAGAATAAGGCCTGGCAAATTGTAGATGGGGTTGGAGGGCTGAACCTGTAGTACTACTAGTAGTAAATAAAGCCTAGTGGAAGCTCAACTGGCTGTGCAGTGAATCAGGCAGGGATGAGTGAGTTTGCTGTTCTGACAGTGCTGGCTGTAATAGGCATGCTCAAACTTAAGAGAAAGCACATTTAAAGTAAAAAAAAAAAAAAGTTAGTGCTGTATAGTGATAGTTGGTTAATAACTGCTGTATATGCAGAAGTATAGAATCTGATTAGTTACCTAGATAAGCAGTTAAAAAGAGCGTATTGTTTGTGCTGGCTCTCAGCTGGTTACATCTTAATGTTATCAAGGAACAAGCTGTTTCCTTCTGGCCCAAGTTTTTGATTTGGTGAAAACACTGTGCATATGCACATGCTGGAGAGGCTGAGTTCAGTAACAGAAGCTCTAGTAGTTACTATCATTTTTTTTGTAGAAGACAGAAATTAATTGGTTTTGTAACTGTTACGCATACTAGAATTTTTGTTTTCTCCCTTTTGAAAATTGTAGAGGGTATGCCTTTGTCAGATTTGGTGAACAAGGTGATCAGATGAGGGCACTGCAAGACTGCCAGAATGCGCCAGGTCTGGGGGGAAAACGAATTCGGCTGAGCATAGGAATTTCTAAAAGGTAACCAACCAGCTGTGCATTGATACAGTAGTTCTAAATCAGATTCTTGTAGCTCTGCCTTCATAGTCTGTCTCACTTGCTGTAACGACTGTACATGTGATGCAGTCTACTTCTGCTTTTTTGTTTTTGTTTTTTGTTCCATATATTATGTTTTGACTCCCTGGATTCATCTACCTCTTTCAGGATTGCTGGGGGAGAGGTAGATTCCAGGTTCTGGAACATAGGCTTAGCTGTTGCTGTGACCAGTCTTGTTTCTCCTAGTAGCAAAGGTGAATGCATTCATAAATATTCTCAGGGTTTAGGCACGAAGAAGGTAAAAGGATGACAAGTTAATGTAGGGTTTTGTATGCCTGAGGTCTTGTATTCTAGGTAGTAGCACATCACTAGTTTCCCAGCAGGCTGGGAGAGGAAGGAACTCTTTCACTGGAAAAACACATGCATATAGGGGGAAGAAGGAAAAGGAAATGGTGCTCAACACAAACTGTTCTGGTAATGTTCTTTGCTTTCCGAAGTTGGGGCAGTAGGGAGTTTGAAGTTTATATCCCTATCGATCGAGAGGCTTTTTACTCTGCCTTCTCAGTTCTTTATCCGTCAGTCATTTGAGGCGATTTGACCAGTTACGGAATTGATACCAAATTTGATAAACTGTGATCCAGGATACAGACAAAATTGAAGTTGTTTATAAAGTCCTGAGTATTGAAGAGGTTAGCTTGCATGTTCTGTTAAACAGCAGAAATAAACCCTTGTTTCTGTCCTTATCTTGTGTAATGCTGCAAATGTTACCTCTTTACATAAGAATGGAAATGCTTTTATTGAAGAGGGCGCTGTCCAGAATTGGTCTGGTGACTAAGTGAGTTTGAAAGCAAGAATAGGTCATGAAGAAACATGTTTCTCCACTTCTGCTAGCCAGAGCAATGCTGATTGTTTTGAGATTTTTCTTTCTTACAGAAGTGTATGCATGGGGAGAGAAGTTAGAAGCAGAAGACTTGGATATGCTATCTAGTTGTTTGTTTACTGCAGTAGCAAGATAATAAAATGCCTCTTCATTAGAATGCATATGTGGCTTTACAATAATGACATAAGTTTACTGTCATAGTAAAATACACATTAATTTGTATCCACTTCTGAATGGCTGAGTTCTGTGCTCTCCTAGTGTCAAAATATCCAGCCACCAGAGCAGTTTGTTACTAGTGCCCACTTAAATTAGAAACTATTTGTGAATTCCTTTAGTTTGTGTCCTTGACAAAAGGCAGGTCTAAACCTGTCTCTTCTGTTGGGGATGCAGAGGAATTGGGCACTGGAAACACAGGAGGTCTCCTGCTGGTGAAAAAATGTCTAAACATAAAGGATTTTTTCGGAATGTGCAGCTGAGTTTTTTCTGAATTTTATTCAGTATACCTCAGTTTTAGTGCAGATAACACTTGTGCCTTGATTGCTGTCAGTAGTCTGAAGTTGCTTCAGAGAATATCTGTTTGGGACATAAGAGTGGTGAAAACTAATAAACTGGTCCTTTGTTCTTAAGAACCAATGTGTTTTGTAACTTTACTACTGATTTGGCTTCACACTGGATAGTGGCAATGATTTAAAAAAAAAAAAACAAAAAAAGACTTCACCTGACAAATTTTGGCAATTACTGAAGGATGCTTTGTGGAGGATAAAACAGAGGGGTGGAAGTAGACATGGCACACTGGCAGGCAGCATCAGATGCTCCTCTGAAACAGATAATCTAATTTGGCTCACTGTTTCTGGAAATAAGATTTAGTAATTAACCAAACAAAAGATAGAAGGGCTAATTAAGAACGAATGCGCTTCTAAAGCAGCTGTGCTTGCTAAACACCTCCTGGTTTTAATCAATTAGTTTTTAGCAGAGCACAAAGATTTAGTAGCAGCTTGCTTTTACTGATACTAAAAAATATTTTAAATGGATAGAGATAATAGTGCCATGGATCTAGAGTTAATCCAGGAAAATAATTACTTTTGGTATTGGCTAAAGTGAGAGTGTTTGCCTCTGTATAAACATGAGGCCTTATGCCATGACTTTCTCACTGTCACCTAGGCAGCTATTTTTAACAAATGTTTCCTTTTAAATTCTGAAGTACATAAACTGGCAAATTGCTTAACTTCAGAATTGGTTTTAAAGCTTATTGTTCTGAAACTCTAACTGTATATAACTTTTAATGTTTCAGGCTGAAAGCAGAATTCCAGCGGTACCAGTCGTATAACTATAATGATTATTACCAAGATTATCAGAACTACTACTCACAGTGGAGTTATGATCCTTATGCTGATTACAACTATGGCTCCTATGCTCCCTATGATAGCATGCAAGCTGTTGGAGACTGCTCTTTAGGAGATGCTGTTATGGCTCCAGCTGTTTTTGAGGTAAAGATACTACAAACTTGCGTTAAAGAATAAATTCCGCAAATAGTAAATGATATAAATTGTGTAAATTGGAGCAAAAAAATGAAGTCTTGAAACTGAAATAATGCTTTTTGCTTAGTGTGAAGCAGGGGCTAGAATAGCAGGCTTTGTTTCGAGGTATCTGTGTGATTAAGTGCTTAGGCAGTACCTCTATAGTTACTTGTTACTATGTGTTGTTCACGTATACTAAATAATTGTTTTGACATACAAAATCATGGTGTTCCTCCTATTCCTGTTGTCTTTCTGATTTAATTTGCTTGTAGCAAAGCAAAGAATTAAAGTGTAATATGGTCTTAGGGCTGATAAATTGGTTGATCTAAAATGACCTCCAGAGGTCCTTTCCAACCTGAACTATACTTTTGGTCTTCTCTTGTAAAGAAGCTGGCTATTCCTGTAGTTGAAGGAGGAGGGAACAACTTGGGATTGGGAGATGACGGTGGTTGTGTGAACATAAGTACAAAATTACTTTGAACTTTTGATGTGTTCTGAAATGGCTTACGATTAAATTGCTATGAGCACTTCCTTGTTTATTTCAGGAGACTTCAGCTATGGCTGAAATCAATGATGACCTAATAATTGAAGGTAATGATGATTATATCATTAAGTTTGAATTTAGCCATACTTATGCCTTTTAACAATATGAGCCAACTTCTATTTGAGGTATGTCTTGGAAACTCAGGAAGATAACTCATGCACTGAGGTCTTCTGTGGGGAGTAGCTAATATGAGTTGGGGTTGATATAGCTTACCTTATACGTCAGGTAAAAGGGGACGCTGTCAGTAACACAACACAGTAGTTTCTCTTAATGCTACCTTCAGTCTCCTTCCAAAATGGTCTAATACAGAATTTGACATCTCTGTACTAGATTCTGCTAGGCAGATTCTGTATTAAATATTCATTAATAGGCAATAATTCTGCTTCCAAACCCTGAGGTAAAAGCTTATCTTGCATGTGCTAAAATGAACATCCAGCTTGTACTTAAAAGATTTGGTACCAAACTTGATTGTTTGTATATGAAGGTTCTGGAGCAGTGCTTCCCACTGAGATGTCTTTTGTCAGTGTTTAATATGTTACACAGGATAAACTTTATTAAAGTAGTAGAAATGACTTAACTGATTTTAAACCATGAAGGTTTTCCCTAAATCTATCCTTAAATTAGTTTAAATACTAATGTAGTCTTAGCATTCTAATACAAGAAATTCTAAAGAAGTTGGGATTGTGTGAAGTTTGTCATAATTTTGGGAGGAATGAGCAGGTTTAATTTTATTAAATAAAGTACTAACTTTAAAACATGTTTTATTCAGCACTTACTTCAGTTTTTCATGTGCCTCTCTGAAGTCAAATACTTGTACTTACCAGACTTTTATTTTCAGATCCACAACTTCACTTGGATATTGATGAAATGAACAGACAGTTTATGGAGACAAGTGAAGAACTTTATGATTCGCTCATGAATTGTCACTGGCAACCTCTGGATACGGTCACTTCTGACATCCCCTTTGCTATTTAAGTGTCTTATATAGCATGACCGTTATGACCAAGGTGCTAAAACTACATTTCTCCTACATTACTCTAGATCATAAGTTTTAAAGCACAATGATAAGTTGGGTTTTTTTGCTATGCTTTTGACAGATCCTGTAATCTTTTTTGTTCATCACTCTACTCTCGAAGCATCTTGAAATCATGTAAATATTCTAGAAATGTAAAGAGTTAAATGGGGTCTAAAGATAGACTTGCCTGTGTAAATAAAATTTTGTTTCTGCAAACCTGCCAGCAAGGGATTTTACTCTTACATGTGTGCAGCACATTCTCTTCTGGCTTACCTTTACTATGCCCAGTTAAATTCTGTATTTCATCTGTCATTAATTTGAAACGGGCATCAGGCCATGAACAAAAACTAGCTCTTCTAGTTTTCTAGATTTCTTAGATAACTTCTTACAAGCTCTTTAATGTGCTTGTTTAGGTAAAAGTATATTTAGGAGATGTTCCCAGGGTTTCCTATGGGGATACTGATGGCCGCTGTGTCTTCTGCAGTCTGTTGGCGCTAACTATGGTACTGTTGGGATCTGCTAGTCTGTTAAAATTACTTTGTACTATAGTATGTTAAACTGATAGAAGTGCAAACTTCTGGGTCCCCCAGCTGCAAGTATTCCATGAACTAAGGATGTTCCTAGCTGACCATCTATGCCCCAGCATTCAGCTTTTCCCTAAAGCCTCCTCCTGACCTTCTTGCTGTAGCCTTCTCAGCTGATGCTTTACCACAAAAACTACTATAACATGAATACATGTTGTTAAACCTAAAATTTCATGGAGAAAATTGCTTCCTAGTTTAAAGGAAGAAAAATAACCCACTGCCGCCAACAACAAACTCCATTAACAACTTCTTGTGCCTTTGGTGTAAATAAGTTGTACCCTGTCCTAATCTCCACAGCTGGATCAGTCTTCCTGACAATCAGATTCTGTGTGCCAACATCAAAAGGGTTTTGTTTTGATTTTTTGTAATAATGAGGTGTTAAGATTTTCAGTAGGGTGCCAGTCTTCAGTATTGAAGTTGAAAGAGTAGGGGAGATGATAATGAGCAGAGTTCTGCTTTAAGTTGGCCATCTCTATCAGAAGATTTCCTTACTGTTAAACTGTCCTCATCTTGAAAAGCATGAATTATTTTGTGGTCACAGACTACTTAACAACGTACAGGCAAAAGTATTTGCTATTAAACAATGTATAGTAATAAATAACTTAGGCTTGAGGCAGAATTCAGCATGAATAATAGCTGCAGAAGCAACTAAAACCAGTCAAGACATGTTGCTGCTGCTTTGTGTGTTTTGGGGACAATCTGAAACACAACTGTTAGTTACAGGAATCCATTTTTCTGGCCTTCTAATGATGATAATGAAAGTGGTGATCATTAGCTAGGTACAGTTTTTAAATGTAAAACAAATCCTCTATGGAATCACTTTGGTAATACTGGCCTGTTACTTCTAGCTACTGACCAGAAACTCCCTCTGCTCTCTTCACCGTTTATGAAAATATTCCTAACAGAAGTTAGTCCTGCCATCAGGTGCAAACATTTTAAAACAGACAGGGCTTTCTGAGTATTGTGGGATCTTCTGTTTTTCTGGTTTTGCAGAGTTACATGTAGGAACAGTTGGAAGGCAAAGAACCTCAGGTTGGCAAGGGGAGTGGCATCACAGATTGTCAGCAATTCTCTCCCTTTTTTGGGAAGAGCTAGTTGCCAGGTAGCTGGGAAGAGGGATTTGTTGGGCACTTCCACTGTGTGAACTGGGAGTCTTTGACAGGTGATGGTGAGGAACATGTTTATGAGAATTTGCTGGAAGGTGGAAGTGAAATAGATGGGGTGAGGAGAATCTGACTGGGTAGGAAAGGGATTGCCTGCATGCATGTATGGAATTGTTTTAGGAGACTGAGGGGAGAACTGTCGAGACGGTAAATGTAAGCTCCTTGAATTTGAATGGGAGTGTTAAGCTTTGAAAGCCTGGAAGAACTTCTGATGCCAACTTTAACGCATAGCTGTGGTGCTTGAGCTTAGTATTAAAAGCTGCTCTGCTGCACAAAGGATTTTGAAGCTAGTAGGTGCTATCACCATGAGCAGCAAGGATACGTAGGAAGGAGGGCAGCTTCCAGCTCTGTGCCTGAGTTACATGCTGCTTGAAGTGGCTTGCATAGTACTGCTTAACACTGCAGTTACATTCCAGTAAGTAGTCTGTGGAAATCTTCTGTGCTATCAATTAAAAATCCAATAATATGTGTTGGCCCATTAGGAATGCTGACTGATTGCTCTAGAGTATCTATGCTGAATTTTGGCCGTTGAGAGTTTGATCCATAATGCGCGAACTGTGTAATGTGGGGCCCAAGTAGCTATGTAATTTCACTTAGTCTGACAGTGACAGCACCACTGCATATGAACCTCAATACAGTCTCAGTCCATAGCCACCACACTCACGCAATTTACACTCGCTAACAAACTTTCAGCTGTTTTACAATTACCAACATATTAGCTGGCTTACACAAAGGCTTGAACGCATCATAGGGGTGTCTGCTATCAGTTCCACAAATATGTGATTGCAGTGGGAGCTTTCCTTAAAAAACAAACAAAAAAACTTAGAAGCAACTTTTTCAACACCACCATGTCTCACTGCTTCTGGTTCTTTGTTTTGTCTCCATTTTATCCATATGAAAGTTTTTTTTTCTTCAAGCTTAATGAAAGTGTTTTGTAAGACTATCCAGGAATACTTTCATAAACTTTTTTCATTGTACCTAGTTGCAGTAGACAGTGCCTTTACTCAAGATTTGCTGGTTTCTTCTGGAACAGTGGTTTTAACGTTTCCTATCCCTGCTCTGAAAAGAATGGCTTTAGTACAGTGGTATGAGGGGTTACTGATCCTACAGTTGTGAGCAGGGAAAAAGAAACAGGACAAAAAGGGTAAAGAGTTACTTAAGCCATTACTGTTTCTTTTTGCAGGATGCTCTTGGACCAACAGCTTCTTTCTAGCACTACCTCAAAGTAAACTTGCAGATCTAACTCACAGGGAAGATTCATCAAATGCTGATGATCCCTCTCATTCCGCTGGATTTTTTTTTTTTGTTTTGCCTTTGCCTTTTGTTTTGGCTCATTTTAAACGATGCTTATTCAACTCCAGTGACTCATGTTAATAGACATTGTTCATTTGAGTACACCTGCAAGCATTTCTGAATAAGTGTCATTAAGTGCATGTCACTATATAGAAATTGTTCTAAATAAGTAAAATGTAAGTAAAGTAAGTAGCATATGAATTTACAGAGAAAAGTTGCAGTGTAGCTGCCTTGGATGCTCATCTGGAAGAGGAAACCTTGTTTCAGGTTCTCTTAATATACTTAGCATACATGAGAAAGAGAATCTTATTTTAAAATGGAGCATCTCTTAAGAGTGTCCACTGTAGGAGTAACTTTAGTCAAATCTTTGTGCAGATAGGCTTTTAGAAGTCGGCATTACTACTGATAAATGACCGTTATTAAAAGGCACAATTTTTATCCCTTTGTGAAGCTTGTTCTTCCCGTAATGAAAGTCTGTCCTGATACCCTTCTCCTAGCAGAAGCGCAATTTAGTGCAGTAATTGATTCCTTGGCGAAAACAACGAAAAATTCAGGCTAACATGTTACCTTCTTTGTATTTTGTTGATGATACTGATGTAAATCTTTTTTGATTATTTTGCTATAAACTTTTTTTTGACCTGTATGTTGTGGAAATAGAGCCTTGCAGTAGAATTGGTCTGCAAATGTAATCCACTAGCAGCTTACAAGAGATCAGGTGGTTCTTACAGGTGCCTTCTAAATCCATGTGTTCCTTGTCCTGGCTGGCATAAAGCATCCTACTGGACACACAACTGTAGTTATACTGGTAGGGGAGGAGAGGAAGAGACCAGAGTTCTGCAGGTCCGGTTTATGGGGAGAAATACCTAGAAAGTAATTCCACTCCACTGGGATTTCAGAAATGTCATCTGATCTGGATGACCATGAAGGCAGGACTAAGGACTAATAAGTGGACTGAGAGCTGGCAAAGCCAGAGAGTTGGGAAGATACCAGCAAGGTTGAAAAGTTCCAATATGAAGCAAGAAGCAAAGACTTTACGGTGCAAAAATCCCAAGTAAGATTCCTCCTAAAAGCAAGGACTGCTGCCACTGGGTTGCTTTTCTTGAGGCCTTCAGAACTACCCTTACTGGTGGGAGTTCTCCTAAACCCTTGAGTTTGATAAGGTTTTTCTTAAGGTGTTTGCTGTGATGACTGCTTTTATTTTTTGGTGGAGATGGGTGAAAGGGGTTGTGAAATACTGTATTATGGGTCTGTCTTTCATTGTTGAGTATCTGTGATAGACTCAGTGACCACAGTCTCTGTTCTACATCACTGCACGAGAAAAACTTTTTTATTGCCTTCTGTGTTGCGTTTTGGGTGATGAAACATTTTCATTGACTTTTACATTGAGTGGTTGAGAGTTGCTGCTCAGCTCCATTGTTAACAGAGTGGGCCAAATAAGTGCACCATCAGTGCACCGAATAAGGCATAGAGCCATAGATCTTTCTCAATTTTTAACTTTTCATAGCATAAAGTTTCATAAGAAACTAAAATATTTTACATGTTTCCAACGTGTAATGAAAACCCATCTTGTCTTGAGGTAGAGAAAGCTAGGTTGAAGCTTATCTTTTTTCACGTGGTTCCTGTTAGCCAAAAATGAATGACATTAAACCTGGAGATTGCTGTTTTTCTTGCTTACACGCAGTTTGTAGTGGGGTCCTGAAGTCACACCGCCTTCCCTCCTCCCCTCCTGTTTTTCAAGCTTGCTTTCCACCTTCTCCACGCGTCCCTTCGCCTGCTCGCTGGGACTAACGGAGGGAAGCCTCCGCGCCG